AGGGGGCGGGAGAGGGTCCGGCCCACGCTGCGCCTGGGCTGGGACTGGTCCCGCCATCGCAGGGTAGCAGGAAGCTCTCCACACACTCACCGGACCTGGGCTAGGACTGGGTCTCTGAGCAATGTTGCTTGTAATCTCATTGATTGACCATAGTTTTGTTCCACCTCATGCCCACCTAAGTGAGTTCCCATGTTCTCCACCTTAGGCCCACCTCATTGCATGATTTTCCTCCATAAAAGTCCCTGAAAGAGACAGTTTCCTGGGGACAACCTGCTCAGGCTCCCCTCATGTCCCTCTCTCAGACAGGAACTTTCTTTCCTCCAGTAAATATATTCTGCTCATAAAAAAAAAGAAATCAGAGTCAGGGGATTCAGGTATGGAGGGGGAGGTACATTATTGTAAATTGTGGGAAAGAAAGCAGACTTCTTCCTTATGTATTTCAAATGTACTAGCTGAGGATACTTTAGACATATTTGTAAAGCTACCTTCAATGCCATTTTTGGGTTTGTGTGTGTGCATGTCAGGACCACGGTACACATGGCCCACATCTCCACCTCCAATGAGCCCTGACTCTTTGCTCCACCAAGCAAAGGCAAGGACACAGTGAGAGAAAGAACTGGATGTAGCCAAGTGTGGTGGAGCATGCCTCTGACACCAACACTCAGGAGGCTGAGGCAGGAGGAACATTGTGAGTTAGAAACCAACCTGGGTTACAAAGTAAGCTCAATGCATAGCAAGAACCAGACTCAAAAGGGCTAAAGAAGAAGGATGAGAGGAGAACGAGAAGGAGCTGGATGTGGTGAGGGTGTTACTTCTCTGGACCAAATTTCCACCCCTTCCTGTCCCCCAGAACTAAAGGCATTCTGTTACACAAATAAATTATTTCTGTTATCAACCAAATTCATCTTAGGTGCTACCACATAACAGAAAACAAGCAACCTCAAAGTGGAAAATAACTGTACAATGGAAAGATTATTTCAAAGTTAGCACCTTATCATCTGAAATCCTCCTTCTATACATGGCTCATACCAACCAAAAATCAAACAAAAAGAAATGAAAAACCTTATTAGAACCACACACAACATCTACAAGCCCCCAGGATGGCTTTTCTCCTCCCTTCCTTTGCTGAAGGATGAGCCTCTCGACACATACCCTGACCAGCGCAGAAGGTCCCCGTGCAGCAGAATCCTCAGCAGGAGGAGAACCGTGCCCTGCAAGGCCAATTCCACGAAGATCCAGCCCAGGAACTGCATCTCAAAGGGGCTCACATAGGAATCGACACCAAAGTTTTGGGTCAGGTCATACTTGATTTGATTATAGCAGAGTTCTATCAGACCTTGACCAAGGCAGAACTGAGGGAAAATCATGAAGACCCGCTTCAGGATGTCATAGATGTTCTGTAAATTCTGCACAGTGAGAGAAATAAAAAAAAATAAAATTAAAATGGAGAAAAAACATTCTCTCAGGCTTTCACAGAGAGCAAATTGGTCAAGCAATGGCTGTGACTCATCTACATGGCTGACACTGACAAAGGATCTACAAACTGTAGTATAGGGTTACAGGATAAATCCTGAGGGGACTTGACTGACCTGATCAGATACAAAAGATACATTTCTTGTTATATAGGTCTTGCTTTATCTTGATCTTAACAATCCAGCAGAAAAGTATAAAAACAAGGTATAAAAGGTGAAGCCATATTAATACGCTGAGCTGTGAAGGGCTAAGTCAACAACTTCTGACACTGCCAGTCCTGCGGATAACCCACTGCTATTATGGACCACTGGACTATATTGGATCATCTTGCTGAATTCACATACCTACAATATTTAAATGGCAACGGAACAGCCATCTCTAATAAAACTAAACAAAAAAAGCGGATACAAATGAAGGACCATTTTGTATCTGCATATACAAACTAGTTAGGATAGATATACTACTTTCTCTTAATTCAATGAGAAGAAAGATCTGTACTAATAGTATTTGGACAGGATATCACGTCTGCATCTTTTACTATGAATAACCACTACAAAAACAACAATATGCAATGTATTAATTATTGAAACTGTCTCATTGCTGTTTCTCAATAAAATTAATTTAAAAAATAAAATAAAACCCATTCTCCTCTCAGTAGCATATGCCAGGGAGTTCTCTCTCCTTCCTCGAGCTGTGTCTTAGGCCTTCCCCGCCCAGTTGCTCACTGACCCTCCCAGACTCCATCCAGCAGAAGCACGTTGTTCTTGAGATGCAAAGCTAGTGGTATTTGTCCGAGTAGGTTTTACTTCCTGGGCTCCATCACCCCTTCTTCCTTTCCTCCCTTTTGGAATGGTAGTGTCTATGCTATGGATGCTCTTTCTCTTTCCAAAACACAGAACATGTTTTGGTTCTCACAGGCTCATAGTTGGGGACAAACTGGCCACAAAAGGCCACTCAACTGGCCTTTGAGTGTCATTCATGGCTGATTCAGATGGCATTTATAAGTGAGACTCTGGATATCAGAAGTGATGGAGCAACAGGTTAAAACTCATGCGGCCTTTGGGATGGAGTGAATCAATTTTGCAAGTGAGAAAGACATGAATCTGGGGTCCCGGCGGCAAAATTATATGGACAGAATGTGTTCACCTCAGATTCATACACTAAAGCCATTGCCCCAACATGACAGCATTGGGAGAGAGGACTTCTGAGAGGCTGTTCGGTGCAGAGGGGACCATGACGGTGAAGCCTGCATCACGAAGTTGCTGCACTTCCAAGAACAGGAAGAAACCCCAGCTTTCTCTGTGTCTCCATGGTGCGTGGATACTGTGACAGCACAGCCATTCATGAGCTCCTAACAAGGCTCAGAGAGACTCGCATCTGACACCACCCTAGATTAGGACTGTTCTGCCTCCCACGCTGTGAGAACCAAATATCTTGTGTCTGTGCCCCAACTCAGTAGTTTGGGGTGTGTGTGTGTGTGTGTGTGTGTGTGTGTGTGTGTGTGTGTGCTGTTTTTACCATCCTGAGCAAACTAAGCACACAGGTGGCATCAGTGTCATAAGTGATCGGATTGCTACACAAGGACGTCATAGCAGGCACTGGGACTGGGAGCCTTTACATAATGTGCATGCCCAATTAATTCTTAGCACTCAATAAGCAGAAAATATATATGGTCATCATTCCTAAGCACGGAACTGCACAGTGCCACAAAACCAGCAGTGAAGGGCCGGCCAAATAGCTCAGCAGATTAAAGCACCTGCAAGCAGGTGCAGGGGCCAGGGGTTCAATCCCTGTGCCTGCCATGCCGGCCCTGCCCCCGGGGCACGCTGAGATGGTGATTGAGACTAGGCGTGGTGGCACACACCTATAATCCCAGCTCTTGGGAAGCTGTAAATAGGTGGATCACTATGAGTCTGACCTAGTAGTGAGACCCTGAACACCCTGTAGACCCTTCCCTAAAATTAAAAAAAAAAAAAAAACCAGCAATGAGTGACAGGGGAAAACAGAGAATTCTAGAAAAAATAAAATGTAAGATAAGCTACAAAGTTGAATCCAAGTTTTAAACTCTATGCATCTAAAAATGCAAAGCCCACCATAACTTCTGTGATTGCCTGCACCATGGGGCAGGCATTCATCTTATTTTATAATGAGATTAAAGTAGTTACAATGGGAAGCAGTTGTCCACCAGGTATCTTTGATAGATCACTTGGTGTCTCCAACTTTACTGCCCTCTGCCACGCTTCAGTCTTCCAGTAAACGTACACAGTTCTAAGAGGTGAACTTGATTATCTGTGAGGAAACAGGATCAGTGACAGATGCCTACATGCCAGCCCGACACAGGGGGGCTTGCTCCCAGGCTGTGGTCTCGGCCCAAGTCTGCATCCAGAAATACAGCCTTTGGAGTAAACCTGCTGAAGGCCTGGCCTCCTGGGCCGACCTTTGTACTCCAGAGAGCCACGTCAAAGCACTGAACCCAGAAAGGACACATAAACTAGCACTGACAAAGAATGCCCTGGAAGTACAAAAGTTTAGACTTGCATTTTATAGTCTTTCTCTCTTTATGGTCAAACTGGTTGAAGCATATGATCATATTTTATAAGGTAGCAAAACTCATCATAATGTGTACTTGTAACACACAACAGTCATACCAGAAATACTGAACACCCGACCTAAAGAACTTCCAGTTCTATATTTCATACTACACAGAGTATTTTTTTTCCTTATTATACTAACTTAAAACATGGCTAATCTAAGAAATGTAGTGTAGGGCAACAGAAAATATAATAACTTTTAGGGTATTGTCATAAGATGGTTTATTATTTAAGATAGACAGTATAAAAGCTTCACTTAATTCTTTCTTACTTTTTCTTGACTGAAACTGGGTACAAATTTTAGTCAGTCCTAATAGAGTTCATGATACTATTTTTTGTTAAATTATATTCCTACGTCAATAATGAACACACCCCAAGAAAGAAGTGGTCAGTGGTAACAGACGCAGCTGAATATTGCAGCTCCTAGCACGAATTCATAACCAATGCTATGACCTAGGAATGGGGTGGTGTGACATCTCTTGGGCCCCTACAATGGTCCCCAGGCATGGGTGAAGACAGAAGTCTGCAGGACCTGGCTGTACAGAAGCCACAGGCACGAGGGAGACCTAGCTCACCGCCTCAGCCAACCCGGCTCCCTCAGGCTGTACCAGGAGGATTGTTTATCCCGAGTCTCACCCTGCATCACAGTGACTCATGACATCCCTGCTGGCCCAGGTCCTATTAGACAGTGAAGGAGAGGGTGGACATCAGGGGCCGCTCCCACAGATTTCAATATTCCCCGCAAGCTAGAACCAATCAATTGCTCTGTGAGCTTTCTATTTAAAGCTAGACATATTAATACAGATTACTGTCAAGCCAGATCTGTAAAAATCACTGAAACAGATCATCCCCCTCATTGACTGCACAATGGATATTTATATACTTCGCTGCTTCTGCACAAACATGAGGTACAATAATAAAACTACTATTGCCTATCCACTGAGAGTCTGCTAGCCCTCTGACATTGTCACAAGGGGCGGAGCTGTCTTGATTAGGGAGACAACAGGCCTTGTGGCATTGGAAATGGGCCCAGCACCACACGCTTACATGGAAACACAACACCACCAGGTGTGCTCCCAGCCTGCGTCAGCCAAACGCCTGGGCAGCCCGCTGCTCCCCCAGGCCTGTTCTTACTGTGGCACGCAGAACCGCCAAAACGACACCAGTATTTCGAGGCAGATCTATTTAATGTCAGATAGGCACTGACTAGGAATCATTTGTTCCTCAAAATGTCAGGCCTGAAAGGCCCGGGAAGAGAGTTTTGCATGAGGTTGCACAGGGGGTGGCACAACAGGTAGAGTTGTACACAGGTAGAGCTGGCTGTCTTTGATTGGTTCTTATAATATGCATCCTAGTGACCAGTCATTCTAAGAGACAGAAGCTATTGCCTGGGCCACTAAAGATACCTCTTTTTTTTTTTTTTTTCCAGAAACCAGGGATTGAACTCAGGCCCTTGTGCTTGCCAGGGAAGTACTTATTCTACTGAGCTGTCTCCTCAGCCCCCACTGAAGATACTTGGGGAAAGGCATTTTCTGCTACATTCTCAGCCGAACAGCTGGGCATCTGCCCCTGTCCCAGACATGCTGTCAGCCAAATACCTGGGCATGATGAGGACTCGAGTGAATGGCAGGAAGTCACAAGTCAGGTCAAAGGGCAGGTAAAAAAGCAGGAGTAGGAAGGGCTGAGGCCCTGCCAGGGTCTGAAGTCTCCTCACACAGCTGCCTAGCAAGTGTCAAGCAGAGGCTGAGAGTGAGGCAGCTCCAGCAGGGACAGAACAGCCTGAGGGGGCTTAGCGTCTATGAAAGCACTCAGCTAGGGCTGGTGAGATGGCTCAGTGGTCTAAAGCACATACTTAGAACAAGCATAGCAAAGCACATGAACCGCAGTTCAATCCCCCAGCACCACATGCCAGCCAGCCCCGCCCCCTGGTGGGCTGAGCTGACCACACACACACACAAATAAATAAATAAATTTAAAAAAAAAAAGATTCAAAACCATTACTAAAAAAAAAAAAAAAAGAAACTCTGAAAGCACTCAGCTAGACTTCCACGCCTGCTGGGGCCGGTTCCCAAAGTGACCTGCTAGTGGGGACAGGTGAGCAGATGGAGGCACTGGCTTACAGCGCAAGTGCCCCCGGCTCACACCCCATGCTCAGGACAGCCCTGTGCTCTGACACTTGGAAGGCAGTAAAATGAAAGGAGCCCCCAAGTCCCCAGGAAACAGACAGGATCACCGGACTGTCCTCCGGGACACAGACTGTGACCCGTCCTGCCTTCTAGTGTCCAACAAGACGGACGGGGGTGCTTTGCTGGGACCCTTTTCACTGCCCTCTCCTCTGCCACCACATCGTCAAGCTGTCCCTGGGGAAGACGCAGGGGTGTAACTCAAACCTCTTCATGACCCCGTCCTGGCTCCGACAGCAGCAGCAGCAGCAGCCACACATCTTTCTGTCCCCTGTCACTGCACATGGGCGTGGCTCTTACAGTGCCACAGAAGGTTTATCAATTAGAATTACTTTCTCTTTCTGGAGCTTAAAGCCAGCAGACACTGGCACATTTCCACTGATTTCCAGTTGGAAAAGCAGCAGTACGGCCCGTGTCTCCAGTCCCTGTCCCTCGGGCCCTTGGAAGGGAGGACTGCTGGGGGCGACTGACCTGGGCTTTGGAGACAATGGCCAGGAGCCGCGGCATGGTCGTCATCAGCAGGGTGCAGAGGCCGAAGATGAAGTTCAAAGAGATGTAGGAGATGAAAGCCACGTCCGAGCTGGAGAAGACTCCGGACATGAGATACATCCAGGGAAGCGTTGCATATCTGAAAGGCACGAGAAGAGCCAGGTCGCTCCTGGACCAGCCCTCTGTCTGAGGACTGAATGGTAGACGTGGTTTTGTAGGCCTGGTGACTTCGGCTCACGTCTCCTCCCGGGCCTTTCCCAGAGGCAGTGGTGCTCCGGGGTTTCTGAGCATGCTGCCATGCAACCAGAAGCATGCCACAGGAGTTTCTGACCACCTCTCCAGGCCACAGCCTGGCTTCGCAAGCTTCTCCCCTCCCGAGGGGACGCCTCTTCGCTGCGTCTCTCAAGAGCCCAGGCACGATCCCTGCTTGCTACAGGAAGGCAGACCGAAAGCAGCATGGAAAGCCACAGAGCATGATCTGAAATTAAGGCCAGGGCAGAATGGAGAGCTTCATTTCAGCGTTGGCTGCATGTCAGATACTGGGCAGCCCCAAATTGCCCTCCTGGGCCCAACAACCCGGAAGGAGCACTGCTGCGGCCCACACCTCAATGGGACGGAGCGAGCTAGCACCCGTAAGAGCATGCTTGGCTCACCCTGAGGGCACCTGAACACAGAGCCCCTGCCGGCGGCCCCCATCCCAAGCCCTGCAGGAAGACTGTGGGCTCAGACTTCAGTGGGACCAAACAAACCACCCAACCCCTGACTTTCTCCTGTTTCCACAGCCCTAGAGCCAGTTTCATCCTGGCTAAGTCCCCTCCACTCCTTCTCACCACAATACAATGGGGTTGCTTTCATGCACACCATGAACAGAAATGGGAACCTGAACCGCTGTTCCAAACACCAGCACAAAGTCTCCTATTCGTGTATACTTCTGGGGACTGGACCTGGAACCTTCATCCTGAGCTACAGCCCCAGCATGTTTAGAGTTGTTCTTCTCAGACAAGGCGCAAATTTGCAATCCTCATGCCTCAGTCTGTGGATTACAGGTATGCACCACCAGGCCTGGCTAGCCATCATCTACCGTAATAGGAGATGGATAATAGGAAACAGCGGCATGAATTGTATGGCAATGGTAAGGCCACCAGGGTCTGGGGAGAAGAAGGGGGGAGAAGAGGAAAGTGAAATAGGAGGGATACACATGTGGCGCTGGGTGTGTACCCATTTATGGCGATGTGTCCATCAGGTGCCACAGACACAGATTCATAACTTTTTAAATAAAATACAAACAGCCACAAATCACAGCCTTTCCCGTAAGAGCCATCTAGCGGGTGTTTGGGCAGCAGCCTCTCCACACGCAGGTGAAGGCACCGCTGTTTTCTTCCAGTGATTAATTGTTTAACCTGCAACACTTCAGTGCCTTCTAAACGCCTGAGGTTGTTTTAATACGTTAACTGGCTCTGAAAATTATGAGGCTTCAAATGTTGTCAGAGGCGCGAGGGCCCCAGGATAGCTGTTATCTTAGCACGCTGCCCTTTGCATATGAAATCTGAGACAGTGGCGTGCTAACGACTGGGTGGAGAGACGCATGCTCCCGTGGCAGGAATAGACAGGGTCCTGCATACAAAAGCACAGCGCCCCAGAAGCGTCGCTCACCGGCAGTCAGCGTCACCCCTGGGGCGGGAGGAAAATTATTTTGGAGCCCCTAATGGCCATAAGACCTTGAAAGTCATTCATCTAAAATAGTTACTGTACAAAATAATTAAATCAAAGTAATAACCGAGGAGACAGGTCATGACTCCTAGAGGCTTTCCGTTGTCAACCGTACATCTGAAATGAAGCTCTGCAGGCAAGAATCAAAGCCCACTCAGCTCACAAGCAGAGCACAGCCACTCGCGACCCTCCCTGCACAGGCAAACATCAGGGGCCGCCTGGGTCACATGGCCTTGGGAAACAAATACAACCACCGGACTGAGAGCAATTCTGCAAGCGACACATAAGCAGCGGTAAAGGCTGGTGATCAATTTTTTAAATTAACTGGTTGATTGATTGATTGATTGATTGATTGTGGTCCCGAGGACCGAGCGAAAGGCCTTGTCGGAGCTGTGCCCCACTGCTTGCATTTCCTATTTAGAGACACTGTCTCGCTAAGTTGCTAAGTTCCTCAGGCTGAGGTTGAGCTTGAAATCACCCTGCCTCAGCCTTGCAGACTGTTGAGACGGCAGCCCTGCGGCCCCAGCCTTGCCGTGGGCACTAACTTGGGGGCTTTAATTGCTGTGAAGCTCTTTGGGCAGAAAATAACCTCTCTAGCCTAACACTACTGATTCAGACTCTATGTTCTGCAACAACCTGTGACAAATTGCTTTTTCTTCCCACCAGAAAGAACTTTTGACAGCCAAATAACACAAGCACTGTGGTCCACTTATGCTCCACCAAAAAGAATGTAGATAAGAAGAAAGGGAAAGGACCACTGGGACAAGGGAAAGGAGAAAAGAGGAAGAAAGGGGGGGAAGAAATGCATGTACACACACAGGACAGAGTGGCCAACTGTACTGCTGATCTCTGCTGGTCTGTTGAAAGAAGCAGTTAATGCTTAGATCTCTCTCTCTCTCTCTCTCTCTCTCTCTCTCTCTCTCTCTCTCTCTCAGTTTTTTTTATAATTTTTGACCCATTTTGCAAGCTTATATCTGATAATCTGAGCAACTAACGTGGAGACAGTAATATGCAATATACAATAGTTGTTAAATTCCTATCATTTCTCTTAGTGAAACTATCATTTCCAAAGTTTTTTTTCACTATTTTTTATTCTCTTTAAAAAGTAAAAAAAAAAACATGGCGAAAAAGAAATCAAGAAAGAGCAGGTCCTTGCTTGCCCTTTGTGCAACACAGTATCCAGCGGCTCGCTCTGCTCAAGCTGGTGACATCCAGGTGGGCCCTTGGGGAGCAGCACCTCACAGCGCCTCTGATGGGACCATGGGGACAAAGCCTGGTGGGCCTGTACCCTCCTCCATGGGCATCTGAGTGGCCAACAGTAGCCAGCGCGATGCCCCTTCCCCCGCCACCAGGTTGAAGGCCTTGCCCCAGGGGTGGGGCCGGCACAGCACGGGCTTGAACCCTGGTCCCCTAGTGCTTGTCTAAGCAGGTGCTTTAGTCTGCTGAGCTATCTGGCAAGCAGGACTGACTTTCCTTTCAGACACTGTCAGGGGCTACATTCCTCTTTCGATATGAGCCTTGTCTTCCCTCCCCTTTACAGCTTAAATGTCCACTCTTCATGACAGGGAGACATACTGCTGGGCATTTATGGTATCTCCCCTGGCCATCCTCCAGCTCTCCTCCTGCACGTTTCCTCCAGTTCAAGTTCATTCATGGGCCCTTCTGAGGGCTGGGTGTCCTTGGGCCTTCCCTGCTTGGAACCGTTTCAGGGCTCCTGGGACCTGCAGGTCCTGTGGACTCAGTGAGAGGAAGCCAGGGCTGCACAGTCACCCGCCATGACCCAGATGGACAGGAGACGCGGCTCCCGGACAGGTTGGCCTGGTCCCTCCACTCACAGCGGCAGTCACCAGTCACCCATTCCAGAGTAGCTATGTTGCAATGACAAAGGAATGAATTTCCAGATCCAGTGAATCCGTGGTCCCTATGCACTACCTTGTGACCTGCTTGGACTTTTCCCCTGGACTCACCCCTGACTGCAGACTGAGCCTGAGTTATCTTGCACAACTCCTTTGTCCACGTCACCCAGGAATCCTTAGCAGGAAGTGGGGATCCTGCTGGCTATGATCACACAAGCACCCCTGCAACCCTCCTGAAATCCTGGGGGAAACAGTTACACACAAGAGGAAATTCCTAACTGGATGCAGATTCCTAAAGGGGCTTGCAATCCAATCAAGGTTCATAAAGATGTCTACAGCCTTGCTCTTTTAAGTTTCTAACCATTTGAAGTTCACTTCTTGTCATAGCTTTTGAAATCTCCTCCCTAGATTTTAAAACTAACTTTAGAGCGAAGTCCATTCTCAGACACTGCAAGAGGACACAGCACTCTCCCCTCTATGGGGTCAATAACCTGACCTCTGACCTAGGTGCCCACAAGTACAGGGTGCTCTGTAAGAGCGCCTTAATTTTGAGCAAAGTGTAGGTACATGCCCTTTATGTGTTTTATAGCTGAGAACATACTATGCTCCAAGAGTAAAATAATTCTGAAGGTAACCATTATAAAATTAAATTAACTGTACTGTTGAGTCACTGTCCACTAAGTTTGTACGAATGACCTAATTGAATCTGCACAGCAACAGAAATACGGTTTGTAGGAAGAATCTGAGGTTGAGAGAGAGGAAATAACATTTTGAAGGCCTCACAGAAATAACATTAGCAGCTAGCAATATCAGTACTAATCAAAATGTATTTTCGTGTGTCCCTGTCTTTCCACCGGTGCACCCAGCCAGCCATCCACCCATCCATTTCAGAGTAACGTATACCATAAGAAAGTCCCTGTATCCTAATTACATGCCTTGGATAATTCCAGGTCACTGACAGAACAAAGTGTATAAACATCGTGTCAGTGGTCATTTCTGGGTGGAAACTGGAGGCTTCGGTTGGACACGAAGCTTCAGCATGACACTTCCCGGGCTATGAGAAGGCAGCTCCGCTAGCTCTTCTCTACTTTGCCATTCGGAAACCTGGAAGCCCCCACGTAACACACACGCATTCCCACTACCCACTGGGCACAACTTGGAGGCTCCTAGCAGGGACCCTGGCGAGCACACAGACGAGAAATCTGCAGTGACTTGACATCTGCCAGTTTTCCTCAGAGAAGAACATGACAAAGTCAGGCCACACCACTAATATTCCAGGAGCAGGAAAACAGGCCACACGGCGCTGCACAGGACCCTCTGTCCAAACGCACCATCAGAGCTGAGTGAGGTTCACATGCGGTTGAATGGCAAAGCGAGAGTGACCAGGACCCCGGTCAGCAGTGGGGTCCGGCAGCCACGGGGCCCTGCTGCCCCAGGGCCAGCCTGCTGCGTCTCCTGACGCCCGCGGCCTCCCTCCTTCCCGCTCCCCTTCCACAGCCACTCATCGCCTTGCTGGGACTGGCTTGTTCCACCTCACTGGCAGGATCCACATAATCGCCTGCGAAAGGAGAAAAGCCCAGAGCCGACAGCGGGCTCAAGCCGTCCTGAGGATTTTCTCTGTGCAAAACACAAGCGATAATTCTGCAGCGCAGCTTCATGTACACCCACCCGAAAAGCGCCAGCAGGAGCGCTGTGGCTGCCAGGTTCTCGCGGAAAGTGAAGGCTGTGAGCTGGAAGGTGACGATGACAGCGACGCACAGGCCAACGGAAACCAAGTAGAAGAGCTGGAGAAACACAACCGAGACAGGGAGTCAGCAGTGTCAGGAGGACGGCTCAGCGAGCCTCAGCGACTCACCCCAAGGTGGCCCGCAGGACCACGCAGCCACGCTGCTCCTGCGCCCGTGGGGACTGTGTCCCTGGACCCCGTCCTGTAGTCACCCCGTGGTTGAGCTGCGTCTCCTGGATTCCTATGCTGCCCACCCTCCTCCCAGATGACGTTGAGTCTGCAGGTAGAGCTTTTCAAGACCAATTGCCACATTTCAGTAGGGTCCTTAAAGCACAGCCTGGCCCCTATGACTGCACCCTTAGAAGAGGAGATGAGGGCCAGGCATAGGAACAAAAGCTGTGATCCCAACAGTCCGGGAGACTGAGGCAGGAGGACCGCAAATTTGAGTTCAGCCTGCACAACATAGTGACTTTTCCAGACCCTGTCTCAAGATAAAACTAAAAAAGGGCTAGGTGGCTGGGCATGATGATACATGGCCGTTAATCCTGCCCCTCAGGAAGCTGAGGGTGAGGATGGCTGTGAAGTCAAGGCCAGCCAGGGCTACAGAATGAGCTCAAGGCCAGCGTGAACCACATAGAGAGACCCCGCCTAACCCCCCCCCCCCAAAAAAGGGAGGAGGGGTGGAGGACGAAGCGCAGGATGAGAAAAGGAAAAGGGGACAGAGGAGGGGAAGGGCCAGGGAAGGGGAAGGGAGGGAAGGTGGGGGAGGGGAGATCAGGTGGACGAAACCAGGACAGGCTTCTTTCCCTGAATGCCCCGAGCCTCCCCTGTGGCTGTGCTCCATGGCCAATGGGCCAGGACTCCTGGAATACTGTCTTTTTTTTTTTTTTTTCCAGGTGCCGGGGTCAAGCTCAGGACCTTGCCCTCGCCAGGCAGGTGCTTATCCCTGAGCCATCTCCCCAACCCGGCCCTGGGATGCTGTGGACACAGCGCCCTCCTCGGGCCGGGGGCTGCTGGGCCCCTCCTCACTGCCCTCTGCAGTCAGACTCCACTCGCCCGACCTCCCAGTTTAAAGTCCCCACTCCATGTCCCCTTCACACCCTCCAGGGACCCCCGCCATGAGCCAGCTGCATCGGGCATGGCTGACTGACTCCCTGCTTTCTCCAGGAACGGGGAGATCTTTGATCTATTCATGAGTTCTAAAGCAGTGCCTCTGTTCATTCACATGGCTGGAAAAGAGCAGGATGTCCTGGAGGATCGGAAAGAGCAGGAAGGCCTTGCGCACGCGCAGAGCTGGACCCGGAGGGCCCTGGGTCGTGGTCTCAGCAGACACAGTGAGCGCTGAGGCCCTACTCTCCAGCCGTCACTGGCGCCTTCTTTCGGCCTTCTCACAAGGTAACAAGCGCCCTACCTCGTGACCCCAGCACTTTGCAAGGATCCTGCTTTCCAGGGCCAGCACGTGAAGGTTGGCTAAAAGACTGGCTTTGGGGAGCACACACTTAGTTCCCAGCCAGCTGGGGCACACCTTCAGCCCTAGCAGACCGTTGACATCATTCCGTGCATCGTGAAAAAGCAAAGCAGGGATTGCTGGGATAACACTAGAAGAAACAGTCAGCCACAGAATCAAATATGCAGTGCTGTCTTAGGACTCATGCCTGGCATCCCAGCTGAGGAGGGGCCAGAGGCAGAGACAGAGGGCCGCAGAGAACACAGCCGAGGAAGTGGACAGGAGCCTACTGCGGGTCCTGAGGAGCCAGGTGTCCCTGAGCAGTCCCAGACACCCACTCCTCGCAGTGTCTTGCTTGGTCCTGCTGCAGCCTTTGCTTTGCTCTGGGGATGTGGGGACCACCAGATGCCACTAAGTGGCCAATGTGGGAGCAAACAGCTGGGGCCGTGCGTGGCCCTGGGATCAACTGAGCCAAGGCTGAGGGTGGGGCTGAAATCCTGCTCTGCCCTGCCAGGGGTGACCCCAGGGGGCCCAGCCCTCCTGTCCTACCTCCCCCCCCACACACACACACACAGAGATCCTACCATGTCATACAGGAAGTGAGTGACCCAGTACGTCCTGTAGCCAAGGCCACTGATGTGCTGCAATCTCTTGGCTCCGGTCACCCTGTCCCTCACCACATTGCTCCCCACGGACGCAGACAGGACGGAGAATCCCAGCACGATGCACAGGGCTACGCCGCACTGCCGGATGCTCTCCAGGCTGCAGGCAAAGCACAGATGCTCATCAAAGGCAGGAAGAAGGTGAGGTCCCCTATACTGTCACAGCCAGGACTAACAGTGAGGACCCCGCCTCGGAACCCTGACCTCCTCCAGTGACTTGAACCATGGTTCAGAGTCTGGGGCAGATGTCACCGAGGAGCACAGTTCCCCGGGGCGCATCTGCGTCGCTGCACTTAGCCCGCCCTGGAAGTTGAGCCCGACTTCTCACTAAAGCGAAAGGCATCCCGCAGCAGCAGCGACACGCTGCAGCTTCTGCTGATGGCGGGTTATCTGGTCACAGCAACTCCTGCCAGGGAGGACAGCGGTGCCACGTCCACCCGCTGCAGCCCTGCTGCAGCCATGGCGACTCTGTGAATGACCTCAGCGCGCCTGCAGTTACAGGCACCACCGCTCTCCCCAGGTGTCCTCCCTACAGCATTACTAACACCTTTCTGTCCTGGCAAGTGCCACCTGCTCTCCTTTCTGTCCAGTCTTCAGGGACACTTGACACACATGACCTTTCCAGCACCCAGCAGATCAAGGCCTGAGCCTTGCTCCGAGTGGCACCTCCTTTCCCGTCGTGCTGGTTTCATGACATTCACCAACTGGCTGCTGCGGAGACTCTAGGCAGCTGGTAGAGACGGAGTCCTGCATCAGTGTGTGAAGGACAGGGCAAGCTGTGACCCTCTTTCCTGCTGCAGTAGGGATTGGAGGACAGAATGCCCATCAAGCATGGCGTAGCCAGCCATGGTAGTACATGCCTGGAATCCTAACACTGCAAGGCTGAGGCAGGAGGACGGCAAGTTGGAGCCCATCTTGGGCAACTTAGTGAGATCCTACTGCAGAATAAGTAACTAAAGAGCTGGGGACGTAACTCAGCCGCAAGGCTCTGGGTTCAACCCAGTGTCCTTTGCTGCTTCTTTTTTCCAAGCATATTATGTTCCTACCTTGCTGGGAAGGATATAAATAATACTTTCTTTAAAAATGCAGCATTTAATTTTTAATTTTTTTTCTTTTTCATTAGGGAAGGGTCTATGGGATATCCAGGGTCTCACTACTAGATTGGACTCATAGTGATCCACCTGTTTACAGCCTCCCAAGAGCTGGGATTATAGGCATGCGCCACCACGCCCAGTCTCATTCGCCATCTCAGTGTGCTGCGGGGGCAGGGCTGGCACAGCAGGGCTGGGGATCAAACCCTGGCCCCTGCGCCTGCTGGCAGGAGCTTTAATCCGCTGAGCTATGCAGCCGGCCCTTTGCAGCATTTAAAGGCTTGCTGAGAATATAGACAGGCAGAGCATGGAGAGAAACTGGGCAGATGCCTTGTACCTTGAAATAAGACAATGGAAAGTGACACCCTGCCCCTCCACTGGGACCACGGGGAAAGCCTCCCACAGGAGCTGTCGGGCACTGCCCGGTTACCTGAGCAAGCACTGTGTGTGTATAAGCCTGAAAGCCTTCCCGGAGGGGCCTGTGCGCACACACACGTGCAGGACGGTGTCCAACCCCAAGCACTGCGGGGCACACACTGCCTCAGGATAATGACTTAGAAATGCAGCTGCAGGGTAGCTCAGTCCACGCTAAGCTCGGGGAGGCAGCTCCTTTCACTAACCACATTCCTCCCACCTGCAAGGATGTGTCCTAGCCCCAAGCCACTAATGTCACATATCTCTGCGAAGAAACATGGAGGAGGCATCAAAATTGCCCCTAAGTGACTCAGCTCTCCCACACCAGCACCAGTACCAGAAGCAGCAGCACCATCACCACCCCCAGCCCCAGCACCCCCAGCACCCCCAGCCCCAGCCCCAGCACCCCCAGCAACATTTTTCCCACTCACATCTTGTCTTCATTCAGCAGAGCCCCTCCATATGGACGGCTGTACAGCGTTATTGCTGTAGAGAAGAAATTGAGCAGTGAGCCCTGAGCCTTCCTGCCCGAGGACCACAACCCGCGCCCGAGGCACACGACTCCCGGTGTCCAGCTCCTTCGCCCCTCCCCGAGGCCCCAGCAGGACCAGGGCCCAATCCCATCTTGCGATCCAGCCAGGGCACGCTGAGGCTTCCTGCTGCCAAGCGCAACCAGTTAGCCAGAGGCCTGGCCCATGTCCCTTGGGCCCTGGCCACGCATTAGGTGACAGGCACTGTGTTCACCTGTTACACATTATGGTTAATCCCTAGAAGTCCCCCAAGGCCCTGGGATATTCTATGATCACAAAGCAGATTTAGGAGATGAAAGTAGGCCAAAGAGATCATTTGGTAACAACCAGGTCAATATCCATTTGGCCTCTGGAGGAAGCCAGGTCAAGACAGACAGGAAAACCGGACCGCCTCCTTCGGCCAGTTTTGTTTTGGTTGTTTTGCTTTGCTTTGTTCAAACACCAGCAGCCACTGGGGAAAAACAGGCACCAAGTCATCAGCAGAAAGCGCTTCGAGATAAAGGTTGCTCCTGTTAGCACTCCGCGTGGCCTCCTTCCCGTAAGCCCCTGTCGCTACTGGATGGAGAACTCTGTGACTTTAGGCGAGCACTTTCTGGTTCATCCCGCAGATGCTGTGAACTAGGAGAGTAATTAGGTCTTTTTCTAAATGGCTGCCTCAGACATTTGGAGCTGAGTGGCCTGTATTGGAGGCAGCCCGGCAGACCCGAGTCCTTGCTCTGTTTCATGTTGTGACCCCTGTGTTTTCTTCTTCTCCTTTCAACTCGCTTTTAATTCATCTGTATGTTGCATTCTTATCGAAGTACCTTAAGTCCTTCCTGAAACACCATGGTATATAAAGACACAAATAAACTAAAAGGTGCAGCCCTGGAACCAGTCTCGGTTCCCCAAAGTCCCAGCAGTCCTGCCCACCAAAGCCCTCACGTCAGCCCACTGCTACCTGCCCCCTCTGTGGCACGGCCAGCCTTCCAAGCTCCTCCTTCACAAGCTCAGCCATGCACTGGGGCGACCTCTGCTCAGAGCAGAAGGAGCAGTGGGGGGCACTTATTCAGAAAGTCTCTGCTACAGTTTTGCAGACCAATCTCTGTGATTATAAATTGCTATTGTCTGGATACCTACTCCTGGCTCTTGGGGTGTGGGCCTAGCGCCTGCTGCAGGCCTCTCTAAATTCTGGACGTCATTTCCACTCCATCACGGGTGGAACAGCTGGAGGTTGACACCTGCCGATCGGGACCCAGCACACCCACCAGGCTGTCTTCCCTTTGTCTTTCACTGGACGTGACTTCTGGCCCTGTTGCCACAGTACCTGCCAGCTGCTGTATGTCCTAACTCAAGTGCCAACTGCTGGGCAGCTAGCACGACACCTGACCAGCAGCCCGGCATGGACCACTCGCTGTGCCAAAGCCAGCCGACCTTGGGCAGTGCTCACAAAGCACCCAGACAAGTGTGACAGGTGACCTGTGGGTGCTGCAGACAGGGAGGCTACGCCTGCAACGTGGTGCGGGGGGCACACAGTTCTGGACACCGCATGTGACTGAGAACACCCAGGAGAGGGTGATCAGCTGAGTGAGGTCTACGCGTTACATTCTTGGAACACAGGCGAATGCTGGAATAGTTCAACGTGGAAACACACACACACACAACAACAACAACAACAACAACAACAATTAGAATGAACAAATGGCTAAAACATTATATACCAGAGGCAAGAGTCTGTCTGTTTTGTTTGGGAGAAACCATTTGGAGGAGACAGGTTCCAAATAATTCAAGTATCTTTAAAAATAAGCTGTGGGGGCCGGGGAGATGGCTCAGTGGAATAAGCACTTCCCTGGCAAGTGCAAGGGCTGAGTTCAATCCCTGGTTCCGCCAAAAAAAAATAATAATAATAAGCTGTGATTGTAACTACAGCACTTTTCCAAGTCCTGTGGCTTAGCTTCTACAAGTAAACCAAGCTCAAGAGGTTCTGGGAACCCCAACATCCACAGCCAGTCAGCCAATGTGCAGAAGGGGCTTGGGACCACTTGTGTTGGTGCTGGTCTCTGGAGTGTCCACAGGGACCACGTCTTTCGGTTCAATGGGCATCGCTGAGCGGAGTGCGGGCGACAGGACGGACTTCATACCCCGCCACCCTTCTACCCAGGAGAACACGGAGCCCCCACCGTCTCACCACAGTTTTGGATCTGTCACTTGATCTCACCTCTCCTCTCCAAAGTGTTAGGGACCTTGCTTGCTGGGGTCCGTGCTAATTCTAGTTGGCCAATGGCAGGGTGAAGGACAACTACACGCAAGAGAAATGTGGGTCTGGGCTCCTGTCTCCCCCTGATTCTCTGCACATCCTCAGCAATCCTGAGTCCTCTCAGTCCTCCCTTCATGACCACAGATCCATCCTACACCACTCCCCCTATATCCCACAGGTGTGTCAACACCTCCAAGTAAATGTCAAAAGCCCACAGAAGCCCCCCGCCTCCTCCAGCTTTCCGCTGCCAATGTCTCAGTGGTCCTCCCAGCTGCACAGATCAAAGTGAGGCCTCCCTCGCCAGCCCACCCTTCCCACCCACACATCCCAGGAGCTCCCAAATTCTGCTTGCTCATCTCAGCTCCCCACACACTGGAGACCCTCCCGGGTGGCCCTGGCTCGAATCTTCCCTCGCTCATCTCTCCCCAAGCTTGCAGTCCCTCACAGCAGCCCAGGAAATTTCCAACAAGGAGGAGAAACGCAAACAGAGCATTCACGCCCTCAGCTTCACACAGACACCCTTCCCAACAGAGGCCAGACTCTCCTCTCGCCCCCTTGTCCCTCTGGCGTGGTCCCTTGGTCCCCTGAGGACACCACCTCTTCCCTAACTCTCACTGCGTGTGCCATGCTATCTCTGCAGACCAACGTCTCCTCTCTCAGATCTCTTTAATGAATCTAACGTCCTTGTTTCGAATCATGATTCCTCCTTTGTGTTTCTATTTCCTGCTTTATTGCCATATAGCTGATAAATACAAAACAGACAGACACCGTTCCAACATACAATGGTTGGACTTAGGACATTTCAATTTTATAACAGTGCAAAAGAGATACGCATTTAGTGGAGATCACACTTGAAAATTCAAGATTTACTCTCTTTCTGGGATAATGGCATCCGCGACAGGACTTGCTCTCCGGAGCCTCGGCGGGGGCAGCCACAGCTCCAGGTCCTGGTCATCTCCACAGTGCTGGGGGCACCAAAGGGGACAAGCAATCGTCACAGGGTTCCTAGATGCCAGGCTAAGAGGAGTAGAAAATCACATGGCACACAGTGGCCACTTCACACATTCTCAGCCCACATTGGGCTTACGGACATAACCCCATCACTCCGCACAGAACGCCTGTGTGTGAAGCATATACACTGATGCGTTAGTTGCAGATACGTTGTGAAATGATTATCAATCAAGCTCATTAACATAGCCACCACCCCTCCTAGGCTGATGGAGAGAACGTAAACTAGATCAGCCATTATCAGAAACAGCACAGAGGTGCCTCAGAAAATTAATAATAGAGCTACTGTACCACCAAAGCATAGATGAGATAACATCCAAGAGAAATAAGATCGTCATACTAAAGATATCTGTACCACCACCTGTACTGAGGCATTGTTCACAGTAGCCCGTATATGCACACATGGAGAGAGGAACAGAGACCCAGTGATGTATGTGTCACTATGCGCATAGACATACACGTCTACTTATGTGCGTGTATACATATGCACTGTATTTCAAGTGTCATTCATCTATTGATAGACCTACAGCATAATAAGCATACGCATATTTGTGAATATTTCTCGAGCCATTCATCTATGGAAACACACACACAGTGGAATACTATTCCATCTTTAAAAATATGAATTCCTACCTTTCATGATATCATGGACGAAACAAAGACACTATGTTCACCAAAATAAGCCAGAGACAGGAAGACAAATTCCTCATGATCTCACCTGTGTATCTTAAAACGTCACGGTCATAAAAATAGAGAGAGCAGGGCCAGGGAGATGGCTCGGTAGAATAAGGGCTTGCCTGGCAAGCACAAGGGCCAGAGTTCAATCCCTGGTTCTGCCAAAAAAAAAAAAACATAGAGCAGCTGTTTGTCAGGGCCAGGGGTATGGTCCATGGGGAGACATGGGACAGAGGGAGGCATGTGATGAACTCGGGTTCTGGGGACCCAGGGTTCCAGACTGCTGTTGATGACTCTGTGTTGTTTCTTTGATATCCGATGAAGGTAGATCTCTAGTCTTGTCATCACACATGCACACGAAGAAGATAAATTAAGCTGGCAAGGGGACAGTGGACAAGCTAAGGGAGAGGTATTTCTCAGATGCGGAGGCCTCACTTGCTCGCGAGCAGAGTGCGCAGCTGGCCCTCCTTCCCCACAGCTCCCAAATCTGCAGCTTCCGCCATGAATCAGGATAATGCAGGAAAGGTGCACTGAGCATGTGCAGACACAGCCCCTGGTCACCACTGCCCACGCAGCGCAGCCTAGCAGTGACTCACAAAGCACTCGCGCTACAGCAGGTGTTACGACAGTTCTGATGGTGTCGGCTTAAAACATCCTTCAGAAGTCTCTCACACTGGGAGGCATGACCTAGTTGGAAGAGGTGGCGATCGGGGCCGTAATCCAGAGGGAGGGGGATCCTTGTCCCCAGCTCTTCCTTCCTCTGCTGCCTCGGTGCCATGAGGTAAGGGTTTTGTTTCCTCCTTCACAGCCTTCCACCTCGCCATTTGTGCCTTGGACCCAGTCTACCATGACAGAACCCACTGAAACCATCAGCAAAAATCAACCTTCCCTCCTTCAAACTGGGGGCATTGGGCATTGCGTCCCAGCAACAGGAAAGTGACTAATATTGCAATTTAGAGATTATTTAAAGTATATGGGTGGGGCTGGAGAGATGGCTCAGTGGTCTAAAGCACCTACTTAGAACAAGCTTAGCAAAAGCA